TACAGCAGCTGGTCTGTCCCGTAGCAATGTAGTAGATGGTCTTCTTGGCGTTGTTGAGAGACGACAACGACCAGATTTCATCCGGAACTGAGATCTTTATAACGTTACTGGTGTCAACCTATTATCTGAGCGCGTTATAAAATCTCAATGGACAATGTTTGGCCATGTCCTTAAATGGAAGAAACATCCCCTGCATGCTTTTATCATTCGCAGTTGATGGATGATGCAAACAATATGTAGACGGGGTCGTCATACAATCAATCTTCTTGGAGTACTTTGCAAAGATCTTTAAAAAGGTGGCCTAAAATTAAGGAACTTTTTTCCATCTAAGAACTTCGAGAACTTGCTGCCAACAAAAATACATGGAAACGTTTTCAAATTATGTAATGAGACTGATCAGAAACTTTAAATTTGAAGTTTTTGTAAACAGTATAATAATAATAAATCATCAAGCAATCATCTCAACTTACCTAATCTGTCTTGCTTGACAAATGTTTAATTACTGATAACGATGCAATATCTACTGTGTTAGATATGTTTTTGTTATCAACATCCCATTGCGGCTTGATACACTGTATTATACAATAACAATATAAGAATTTCATTGTGTAACTTCGTAGGTGTCACTTCAGAAGGGACTATCATCGCACTGGTGACATGTTATTGACCTTGCTGCGTTCGACACCGTAAACCACCCTGCTTTACTACGGTTTCCAACATTCTGCCACAAAGGTTCAACTGTTTATGACAAACAAGTACCAAATACTGTAGTAGAAACTCTTTTATTCCCAGTCGATACCGTATCCATTCGGGTATTCTTAAAGGGATTTCGAATCTCTGAGTAAAACTCACCTTTTTCCATAGTTCATACTTTTTAAGTCTTTACCTTTGGGTAAAGAAGCTTGCGAATGCACTCTTCGTTAATTAAACAGGAACAAAAACTCTATCGTTTTGTCACTTCATAATTCCATACATGTATTGTTTTTTTTTAAATTTATTTATTTTTAAACTGGGTTTTAGCAAAATAAAGATTTAAAATATTTTCAATCTCACTTGTATTTGTTTTCATTTCTTTTAAATTTGGTATGTAATGTATTTTCGAATCTTTAATATTTTTTACCATAATACATTTGCGAATGCCTGAAGCCTGTTTTCCATCTTGGCGAATTTATTCGCGCGAATGGAAAGCGGCGGCTCATGCACATGCGCATTCACATTTCTATCGGAGTTTTTGCTAGCGTAAAAATGCGCAACCAATCAGAACTGAAGAAGCGAACCGACGCTTTGATTCGCTCGAATAAATTCGCCTAGTGGAAAACCAGCTTAAAGTTCACTTGTTAGAAGTTTGATTTGCTTTTGATAATTTAGCTTTTGATAATTAACTTTATTTATTAAGCCGGTTTTACACTAAGCGAACTTATTCGCGCGCGCGAATCGAAAGCGTCGGTTCATTCGCCTTCAAATTTCTACCGGAGTTTTTCACTTCAGAGAAATCAGTAGTTCGAACTGTTTGTACTTTTTGTGGAGCGAAAAAATGTGCAAACAATCAGCGCTCAGGAAGCGATTTCGATTCGCGCGAATAAATTCGCCTAGTGTCAAACCGGCTTTACTTTGCGGAATTCACGTCTAAGCTTGATTTAAATTTATCTCTTTCTTTTAATAATTTAGATGAGAGAAACTCTACTCTGTCTTGAATAGGCACCCAGCTTAAAGCCGGTTTTCCACTATGCAAATTATTCGTGCGAATCAAAATTGTTTGGTTCATGCGCATGCGCATTCACATTTCTATCGGAGTTTTTGCGAAGCGAAAAAATGCGCAACCAATCAGTGCTCAGAAAGCGAACCAACGCTTTCGTTTCGGGGGAATAAATTCGCCTAGTGGAAAAAAGCCTATAAGAACAATAAAAGAATGAATAATATGTATGTCAATTACGTGTACCGGTATTTTTGGTGACACGTGTTGCATCTAATCTGCTTAAGTGTAATACTTTTTGCAATACTCATATTTTTTTGGTATAAAACTAAAATCTTTTTTGTCAGTAAATCATAGTAACATCTCCGATGAGATGGATACTATCGTAATATTCTATTTCTTAAAAAATTGTCTCCATCTCATAAGAGAGTACAATTTCTGAGTAAGGTGGTTTATAATATTACGGTAAAATATATGTCTGTTTGGATCGAATTACATTTTGTAGCTAATAATTCTAGAGAAACTTGGAATGATGTAAAATTAATAACTGGGTGTAGGGGTAAAACCTCCTTTAAAATGCTCCCAAGTTTTAATGATGAAAGCTTAGCCTCATCCTTAAATAATTTCTATACTCGTTTTGACGACAGAAACTTTGATGAGGAAAATATTACCTTTTATAGAAATTTGAACTCCGAAAATTGCCCTGTTAATATAACTGTTGAGGAAGTTATAAAACTCTTTAGTAAAATCAAAATTAGGAAAGCAGCTGGACCTGATGGGTTGGCAGGCATACTTATTCGGGAATGTGCAACACAAATTGCTCCTGTTTTTCAATATATTTTTCAGTTATCACTCCGTCAATGTGTTATTCCTTCTATTTGGAAACATTCTTTAATTATTCTCATACCGAAGTCGTCAACTGTGAGTAATCTAAATGATTACAGACCAATTGCACTGACGTCACTGATCATGAAATGTCTGGAGAGGTTTGTAGTTAAGCAAATAAAACCAGTTATAGAACCGAAACTTGATCCCATGCAGTTCGCATACAGGGCGTCGTGGTGTGGAGGATGCTACAGCAACCCTTGTCCACTACACCAAAAAACATTTAGAAGCATCAAATTCATATGCAAGGCTTCTCTTCATTGATTTCTCTTCCGCATTTAATACTTTGCAAAGTCATGTGCTTCTTCCTAAACTTCTTAAATT